TACAAGGGGAAGGCGCCCCAAATTCCAGGCAGGAACCACCTAGCTGAAAAAGAGGAAAGCAGCATTATCTTTCTAGAAGTGGGTTGGTTTTGTGTGAGGAGTTTGTAAGAATCAGCTTGCTATACTCTATTCATATCTTATCTTCTTTTTGTCACATTTGAGTTTTTTTGGAGTACTGAAAAAATACCGTCTGTTCTCCTTTGCACTTTGCGTTCTCTTCATTGTATACTGCACGTGTCTTGTGCAGCAGCTGCTCTGATATGTTGGTCGTCATCATCACTAGCTAGGTACATTATCTGTTTAGCACCTTCCCTCATTTTCTAATACCGGATCTTTTAAACCTAGTAGTAACGCCTTACTGTATTTGGTTTGTACCCCTAATATTAATTAGCCTAATGTTTGACTGAATGCATGTTATCTGTTTACTCTCTGGCCTTTTTCTATATTTGATGTTGTATCTGCTGTTCTTTAAGTAGTAACTCCATATTTCTGTTAATAGGCATTGAATAATCACTTAATGCTACTCTTTTGTCTTTCTTTAATTTTCAGAGGCTATCTGGAATGGAAGAACCTCAGAAAAAAATGATGAGGTACTTTTTACTTTCTGTGATTAGTATTTTATTATTTTTATTCTCTTAATATTTGTTTACTGGAATTCTTAACATTCTCTTAGATTTGTTTACTAGAATTCTTAATGATTAACCTATTGGAATTTCATTTCATAATGAATTTTTTTTTTTGAAAAAGGTCAATGATAAAATAAACACCGAGCTCCTCAGGAACCTGACAACGGTGATTGTGGCAGCACAGGGAATCTTTACCAAAGCCTTGGAAAAATGAAGGAAGATTACTTGTAGACAAATAAAAAAAAGACATACTCTTGAATCCTTATGTGCCAAACTCCGCGACTTTTTCTTCTCTTGTTGACTGACAATGAGATTGCCAGTACTGAACAGCTGCCGCTGGTGCAAGTAATATGCTATAACTGCAACAAAGGTCATTGATGGGCAGCTGCCAAACAGTTATGGATGTGTGGCTGATCTGCGAGGCACCGATCGTCTTTCTTGTACTCTCTTGATGACTTATGAAATACAGCAGCAGCGATGGAGGTTATGTGAAATCCATGATTAAATTCATGGTGATTAATGATTTATCTAGATCCTTAAGTGATCAAGAGGTAACTAATTTAAAACTGTTTTAGATTAATTAAACATGCTACGATAGGAGTACGGATCCATGGTGATTATGTTGCCTTACTCGGTTCTTGTGTGTATGCTTTAGGATTCAGCGCTGTTGGAGGCTTCTCTGCCTTCAAAGACGGGTTTAACAGATGCCTTCCTCGCCAAGAAAGAAGCTAACAATGTAATTAAATTGGTTAATTTTACTGTTAATTACCGTATGTTTGAAGAGCAAAAACAAATTATCTATTGTAGAGGAACTGACAACAATAGGTTAATACGCTCAAATCTTATTCGAACACCTTATTTTACAAAAGCAGCTAATCTTTTCTCGTGTCATGCAAGAAAATCTAATTAAACCCATATGGAGATTGATAGTTGAAATTAGCAGCTGCAAAACTACTAGTGCCAGTGCCATATTGTTCTAGCTTCGTCCAGGAACTGTTGATGAAAATTGGGTTTGCTTCAAATTGTTGTTGTTGAGGAAGTTGAAGTGGATTTGCACGGGAGCTGTACACAGCAATCTCAGCCTGAGTCCTGGCAAGCTGATTCTCTGCCTTCTGGATCTGGTTATGTAATACAGAGATGATCCCAACACAGCCGTACACAGGATCTTCAATCCTACATTGTGCCTCAAAATACAATGAATCTACTGCTTGACCTCTTAGATGACTTGGCAGTTGCTGCATACAAAACAAAGGAATTCGCAAATAATCGATCAGTCTCTTCTCAGTTTACGTGGAGGTCCAAATTCGTGACTTTGTTCCACTTTTGTGAAGGTAATTCATTTACCTGGACATTTGGCTTGAAATCGTAGTTGCTTTATTTTTCGTATTATATTGAGTTATTATCTGTGTTTGATCCATATTTTTTATTTAAGCATGCAGAAAAAAATGTTACAATGTAAATTTATTTTCATATATGCATATGTTTGATATATTTGTTTACCTGAAGCATCTTTGCAACATTGCTGGCACCATAAATTTTGTGGACAAAAGCAAATCTTTGAGGATTATTTGAAGGAAAATAAGGAGAGAAAATACAATCTTGAGGACATCTTCTTCTCAAATATTTACAAGCTGCACAACGACCAGAAGCCATGTCTTCCAAAAATCTTGATAAAAATCAAACTCTCAATCTTTCTGGAGACAGAAAAAATAGAAGGAAAAATCTAATAGATATACTGTGTCATATATTTTCGATTTTGAAATCTCCTTCATTTTATATTGGTTGGATTTGAAAGACCCTATTTTAGGTTTAGAGAAAATTTACAACGGCTATATTTTTTAAAATTCTGTTATTTGGAAAGAAATTTGCAATGAATTATTTCTAATACTCAAAATTAATTTCTCTTTTTTTTTTTGGTTTATTAATTTAGTTCCCTATATTTAAGGGGATGATTAGAAGAATTAATCACCGATGTTTTCCAAAGTCAAAGGACGTACATATATATATATATACACACACACATATTTATGGGAGATCTTCATCAAAATTGCAAGAAATATTTATTGTTCTAAAATTTATTACACCTTTTTAATTTTAAATTTATTTTGTAAATTAAAAACTTAAAAGAAAAATTTTGGAAAAATTATTAAAGAATAAAACAAACGCAGACATATGAGCGTATGACTATTTAGACTGAAGGGCCGACGTTGTTGAACGCACAAGTCAGGTTTAGGAGGAGATTTATATACATATATATATATATTATATTTACAAGTGTATTAAAATGATATATTTATTAAATAATTAAATAATAAATAAAATATTTTTCTATAAAGTATAAAGTTAAAGCTGTTTTTACAAAAATATTTTGTATTAATTAGAGTAAAACATAATAGATATTAAAAAGATTGTTAGTCGCCATTATTGAGTGATGATCATCATTGAAATTTAATTAATTTATAATTATTTTAATTCTTTTCACGTGTAAAGTTAGTCTGCTTAAAGTTATTTATTTTTACGTTTAAAAATATTTAATTTTAAATTTTATAAACATATTTGAAATCTTTATAACTTATTTTCATTGAATATTTTTTTTTTTAAAAAAAGTAATTAGAATTTTATATTCCTTTAACCCAATCAATTTTTTTAGCTCAAATTTGGTAGTGTTTTCAAAAAATCAAAACTCTGCATTTGATTCTAATAATTGTCAATTGTACTTTAAAATGAATTTATTGAAAGATACACACAACAACTATAAATACAAAGTACTAACTTTTATACAATCATCAATATACATATTCCCCTATATGAATAAATATAATACTAAATAAAATTAAAAAATATTAATTAAAATATACTCACCAAACTCAACCTGATATCACCATGAAAGTAAAATTTAAGCTTTTAAATATTCATGGTCCTCAAATGTCTGCTCTCAAGACTATGAACCAGTCAATCCCAATAAACAAAAACCCCATCAGACATATTTATAATTGCAGTAGACAACATGATTCCCCGCTAAACACGCCACTCAGAATAATTTCTCTCTCTTTTTTTCTTCCTTATTTTCCTAGATATCAATTATAACCAGCCTCACTCCATCTTCAACCTTTTGTTTTGACGTGCTTCATGGGACCCCATATCCCCATCATTTCTCATCTTCCTCGCCTGTCATAATCCTCAACTCAAGAAAAAGAAAAACTCTCCCAACAAAGAATCAAACCAATCTTATCAATCTCTGCTGTTCTGCCAGAACAGTCCATGGAGGATTACAACAGATCGAGGTCATATGGTAACGGAAACAATATGCAGATTGAGAGCTACTACGGGCCGCCGAGACCGCCGCCCCACACTTCTTATGATCTAAGGTGCTACAGTGCATCTTATGCGCAGACCCAGATGGCTAATAATAACAACTTCAACACCAAGGATTTTAAGTTCAAGAAAGGAAAAGACGCCGCTTCTGGTTCTGGGTCTTTTTCCAAATCTTGGAGCTTTGCTGACCCGGAGTTTCAGAGGAAGAAGAGGGTTGCTAGCTATAAAATGTACAGTGTTGAGGGGAAGGTCAAAGGATCTTTCAGGAAGAGTTTCCGGTGGCTCAAGGATAGGTACTCGCAGGTTGTTTATGGCTGGTGGTGATTCTGATTGGTGGGTCTTTGTTCTTTCATCTTCTCTTCCTTTTTTCTTTTTTTTTTTTGTTAATTTCTGTTGGTGGGCATTTATGAATGTTGATTTTTGTTTATGAGTTACTGAAAGTTGTTTTCAGAAAAGCTGATTTGGGTAATTTTAGCAACTGGTTTGCTTGCAAATGAGTTCAAGAGTGGTAAATTCTGGTCGAAATACATGTATATTTTTGTTTGCTCCATTGTATTGGATGTTACTGTAAAGTTTTTGAGGAATATTAATAAGAAGAAACTGGTTGGTTTTCAGAACTACCCTGTTTGCTTGTTGATATATAATGGAATCTATCATCTTAGAGAAATTTGATTTAGGCTTCTACTTCCACACTGATTAATTCAGAATATAAGTATAGACGGTTAAGCAAGAAGAAAATGATTCAGCTTTTCGTGGTAGGCCGTTAAGAGTTCTTTGACCGGAACTGCTAATAAATCCAAGGAGCATAACTCAGGTTCAATCATATTCCAGATGTTAGCTTTTGGTCACATTTTTTTGGGAAGTAACTATCTTAATCCAATGAACTACTTATGAAATTTTAAGATCATTTTGTTTTTTGGATTCAGTTCTTGTATCTTCTACCAGATAGCCAATTGCGAAAATTCATAAATGAGAGAAGAAGATTCATCATTTTGTTGAACTTTGTTTTCTTCCTCTCCATTTTCTCAGCAACTTTGCACTTCTGCCATTTTGACCTTTATATAGACAAATCATCAAGGTGGAGAAGTCAGAAGATGATCATAAAAAATCAGCATTCAATTTCTTCCAAAAGGTAAATGCAAGAGCAAGTTTACTTGCTATTCAAATTCGATAATCCTTTCCATTTTTTGAGGGGGGAGAGGAAGGGGGAGGGGGAGGGGAGGAGGCACAAGTTCTTTAGGCTATCACAAAAAAGTTTATTGCTCCTTCAGCTTTAGCTAGTTAGATCAATTAGAAAATCAAACTGTCATGGGATCAGCGTAGCGACAGGTCACTTGAAAATTTTTTCATCACATGTTATGGCTAATCTTTGTATTTGAAATTCATGGCCATGCAGAGTTTCTTTTTGTGAATTCTGCACACAACTACTGAAGATTTTCCGTGGCAGAACTGGCTATGGCTGGTACCAAGTTGGGCCAAGCTGTTTATTGTTGAGTCAAAAGAGTTCTAATTCCAGAAAGTAGGAAGTCTTTTGTTGAGTTCTTAGACAACATATTTTATTTTACTGTTGTTACACTCACCAGGCTCTTCTTCGGAACAAAACAAATGGTTTGACTGCATACAGAATCTTTATCAGTTCTTAAATGCATTACTTTGAACTCACTTTTGAAGTTCCATCCAGCTTCGATTTTTCCTGGGTTCCTCTCCTGTAGCCTTATACATTAATCAACGAGAAAAATCTAGGTACACTGAAACTGTTTCCAACACACAACAGAAGTCTCTTGTATCATTTATAATTGCTGCTTCGATAAATTTCTTGTGAAATGATTGTTTTTGCCATTCAACTGGACATAAACTATGTCATATTTCTCAATCTTGGTTAGAAGCTTACTTCCTTGAATGTTTTAAATGGTAAATCTTTACTTGATTGCTCGCATTATCTGAGTTCTGAGGTGAGATCTGTATTGATTTTCAATCATTATATCTTTCACTTTACATAGGGCCCGGAAAGCTGGAACAGTTGGAAGGTTTTATTAATTCGGAGGCAGTCTTCATTGAGGAAGAACAGAGAGAGGTTTCAAAATCTTCTTGATATATTAACCCGCAATCTATTGATGTTATATGAAATATATCATGATCTGATATGATAATTTTTTTTTCACCCCCTATTCTGTGTACCCAAATTGTTATTTGATTGATATGAACTTAGGGAACTGTCTGAATTATATGTACTTTGCCTATTTGTTTGTGCAGAAGATACTGTAATGAGAAAAGATTTCTTTTCAAATTTATATAAGCAGATTCTTTTTGCTACTTATTTCCATTGTTTCAAGAAAATTATTTTCCAGCCTTTTAGCAGTTTCTTCACCATAATTTTGACAGCAATCCTATAATTCATGGTTTTGCAGCAAGTGTATAGAATCTACGTGCATCGATATGATCTTTATAATCTTTGTATTAGCACCCGATTTTTTATAAGTATAACTACATATATTTTATAATTACTTGATATATACACACATCATTACATAATTTCTTATTGCCAACACTAAAGAATGCCAGTTTGATTTAAATTCGGTAATTCTTATAAGAGATAAACTATCAGTTTTAAATTAGTATTGAGTTGTGCATTTATATATATTTATTATTCAAAAAAAATTTATATATATTTATAAAATTATATAAAAAAGATATAATAATTATTTAATAATAAATATAAAAAGTAATTTTTTAAAAAATATAAAAGATAATATTTTAAAAATATTTAAATACATCAATTTTATTATTACTTTTTCATTGTTAATTAATTTTTCTGAATGAAGTATAATAAATTTAAAAAAATAAAAATTTGAAAATATTTTTATGTGTAAAACGACGTACAACTTCAATAATTAAGAAAAACTGTAATTATTTGAATAAAAAACTTTGAAAATTAATTAAAATGACGTTATTGCTAATATTGAAAAATGAAATAAAAGAACTTCATTAGTTTCAACTTTGACCTGATCCAATCATGGTCCGATTTGCAGGCCCAAATTGCGTCCTAATTGTAAAATTAAGCCCGACCCGAAACAAGCTATTCGTAATTTGGGGCCTATAAGAAGGAGCATTTATCACCTTCGCTTGGCGGCAAAACCCTAATTCACCAGCAGCAGCTCTCCTGGTCAGTATTTCTCGCTGTTCTCTTGGCTGCCACTGTTTTCTTCTGCTGGTCCGTTAATGTAAATCTGTCTCTTGGTCAAGTAATAATCTTGTTTGTAGCATGACCTAATTACGAGATTTGTAGTTCTTGTTTAGGCTTGTATGTATATTTTCAATGTTTTCTCAGTGTGTTTCTAGATCCAAATGAACTGAAGCTACTGGGTGTTCAATGACTTCATTATCTTTTTCTGGTTTTCTGTCGGTTTTTAACTTAAGTTGTTCATTTGCGCTTTTGGTTTTTGGTTATTTACCAGGTTAGGGATTTTCGTGAGGCAGGGTTGAGATGGCTCCAAAGGGTAAGATTCTTCATTTTTTATTTTATTGTTACAAATTGCTTTTGCTTTTCTAATGTGGCTTACGATTTAACTGCATCTGTTGGTTTCTAACTTTCATATTTTGTTGTAAAGTATGTGTATTTAGTACTAGTTGTTTTAGTTTAAATCTTGAACGTGAATTATATGCAAAAATATAATCTTTATATCTATATACATATAAATGGGATATTCATTAGTGTGGTTAGCTATCAACCTATCAAAATATATTCTTTAGTTTTTATTCTGCAATAAAAGATGAAAATGGAGTATACTCCGTATTTTATGAGCTACCTTTCATGTTTTTCTTTTATCCTTATTGCCATTTGCTATTACAAACAGTATCAATTTGATGAAGAGATGTGTATCATACCCAGGACTTCTTATTTTAATATGTGAAATTCGAGATTGATCTAGTGATATGGATTTTGCAAAAGCAAATGTTAACAGTTAGTTTAAATATTGAATTGTTGCTTGAAGCTACCGTGGCATTAACCTTATTCATGTAGTTATGGTCTTTGTGTTTTTGTTGTGGTTCAACCTAACTCGTATACAAGAGCTTTAGTTAGTTCCATGATCCTTTACACTCAGAAAAAATATTAGAAAATTTTAATCAAAATCAATGAAACTATGCTACTAGGTGGGTGCCTTAGACATTTCCACATGGGATCAGTAAGTATTTTGGTTTCTAGCCCCACCCTAAATGGATTAGTGATAACTAAAATTTGAAATTATTTCAACATTTCTTTTTTGTGGTGTCTTTTGCCACGCCTTGTCACCCGTGTTGTGACACTAGGTATTCTGTGAAAGAAGTGAGAAAAATAGAGAGATCAGGAGGGGAAAGAATTTCAGGTTCTGGGGTTCTTGTGTAAGGGAAATGGAGAGAGGGAGAGAGAACCGGGGAAAATTCGGCTGTAGTATTTGGGTGGAAGAGAGAATAGAGTGAAGAGAAAGCGGTAGTAATGAAGTTTTGAACAGTGTGGAGAGAACATAGACATATCGGGTTTTTGATGATTTGCTAGGACAGCATACCTTGTTTCTCCCTTTCTTTTCTTTTTCTCTTAACCTTCCTGACTTTGCAGTTTGTAATATACATCAATTTAGATGATGGATGAAATGAAGATCATGGATTTTCTTTCAGTAGATCAAACAATATAGGGATGATATTGAATGGCCAAACATATTTTAAATGGGCTTGGTTGCTTTCCAAATATGAGTATGAAAAGTGTCTGTAGGAAACCTTATTGAAACAATTCCATGAAGTAGAGTTTGTGTTGATTTACTGGGTTGCATGGGAAGCATGTATGTCTTAATGTTTGGGATTAGTGTTAGAAGTAAGGCGTTGTTAACAGTTCTTAAAATTTGATCTTAAATTTCCGGTTTCCAGGTGCAAGCAAACAAAGTAGATAGAGATATGGGTGTGAGGAATCTGAGAGCATGGAGCAGTTTGGTAAAGGAAGGCTTTGAAAAGAGTTTATGGGTAGGAAAATTATTTTGTTGGCTCCATGTGACCAACACTTATGTATGTACTGCTGCTCTCACTTATGGTCCCAGCATGGTGCCCACCCTAAACGTGTGGGGGGATCTAGTCTTGGCGGAGCGGATATCAACTGCACTTGGAAAAGTGGGCCCTGGAGATATTGTGCTCGTAAGATCTCCTGAGCTTCCTACCAGGATAATTACGAAGCGCGTGATTAGTATGGAGGGTGATCATATCACCTACAATCAAAACAGTGATGGAGGTGAGACTACTGTTGTGGTTCCTAAAGGCCATGTTTGGATACAGGGAGACTACATTTACAATTCTCACGATTCCAGAAATTTTGGACCTGTTCCTTATTCCCTTCTTCAAGCCAAAGTGTTTTGGAGGATCTGGCCACCTGAACACTTTGGATCCTTGTAAATAGGATAATCACAATTTCTCCATTGTTTCTTTCTGACTTTTTTTTTTTTTCTCTCCATTTCTTTCCCCCCATTTTTCATTCAGTGACTGTTGTAGAGTTTCTACTTTTCTCAAATATGCTAAAATAATAATTTAATCTTTGTACTATTGATTTTTATTAAAATTAGTTTTTGTATTAATTTTTTATCAAATTAATTTCTGTATTTTTGAAATTTTTTGAATTTAATTACTCTCTTTAATTAGCGGTTAATGCTGTTAAGTATGGTATTACATGTTAAATTTAACAATATTTGGCCCTTTTTGGTTGGAATATATGCAAGTAAATGTTATTAAACATTCAAGCATGTATTGATTGGGAGAGCGTCGAGACGCTGACAGAGGCTCTCAAGCAAGGACAGTTTAGCAGGGAAAAAGAGTTGATTCTGCATTTATTGCAGCTCGAGAACTGGATTTCACAACAGTTTAACCGTAGAGTTGCAGAGTCTTGTGCTGAAATCGAAGCTGTTCCCTTCGCTCGGTCCTCTGCGATCAGAACAGCCGGAAGTGTTTAATATTCATGATGGATTCAAAAACTTCATATATGCACCAATACACACATATATACCACCATGTGGAAGCTAATAACAACAATATGAAGTCATTGTTAGATATGCACCAAAAGTGAGAGATTATAATTCAAAACTGTTAAAGATGTTTAAGAAGCTTTGTTGCAGTAGTTTTTTTCTCTCCTTTTTATTATCTTCTCAGCTATAATCTTGATAATCCTACTCTGTTTTCTTCAATTTGTTATTAATGTACAATGTAATATGGTCTTTAATATTCCTGATTGATTTTTTTATTCAGCTCAAAGCCCATAAGCCTACTTTAATACCCAAAAACAAACCCAAAAATCCCAGCCCATGAACCAGTTTTCTTCCTTCCAAACGTCGACGTTTTGGCCGTTTCTCTGATCTCTTCCGCCTGTGTCCGGTGAACGACAAAGAGGAGAAACGTACAGATGCAAAGGGTTTTCGTTTTTGGACGAAAAAAGAGGAAGATGGCAAGCCAAAAGAGAAGTGATTTGAGAAGGAGGGGTTTTTTGAGAGTGAAGTAGAGAAAGAGAGAAAGAATGGAGAGGGGATAACGGAGGGATATTCGCTGTGAGGAACAAGAGCAAGTAGGAAGGGAGATTGAGAAAAAACATAAGGGGCCTGGTTTGCAGTAAATGAGAGAGAGACCCAAGAGCTGGTACAGAGGGAGAAGAAAGAGAGACGGAGAGCCAGGCGAGAGGCTGAGATATTGACTGAGACTAGAGGGGAAAAGAGTTGAGAAAAAGAAGAGTTCGAAAAAATTAACGGAGAAAAGGAAGAATCGGTGAGGAAACAGGATGCACAAGACCTTGAAGCTGATTTGAAGGTACCTCGACAGCAAGTCGGTATTCCACCTAGGTAATTTTCCATGTAAGCCTCTTAGTTCTCTGTATTGAATTCATTCTATATAGTGGCTGTTTGAATAGGAGATAATAGAAATACTTTTGTTTGACTCATTTGATTAAGTTATATGAATATGTTTCTTCAGTTTAGTTTACTTCACCTTTTGCTTCTCAGATGGAATTTCATAATTAATCGAGTTTTGAATTTCAATAATTAATCGAGTTTAATATTTAGTGTTTATTTGTGGTAATTTGCTTTGAGTCTACCGGAGTTAGAATAATATCAGTACTTCTCTGGCCTTGGATTATGATGCTCCTTTATTTCTTTTGAAGACTGAATTTGATATGAAATATGTGTTGGTGCTTAATGTTGATTTTGATAATAATCACCATTTAATCTCTGTATAAACTGGAAATTAGTAGTTCAAGAGAAGAGAAGAAATTGCAGAACTGAGAGAAGAGGAGAGCTCGGGTGTCTGGAAATGAGGAGATGATTTTATTGATGAATAGCAAGAGGGTATTTATACAAGAAAAATAAATGACAAATTTAACACTAACTTTGTACATAATTACAATTATATCTTTAACTATATATTCTAATAGCCCCCCTCAAACTGGAGTATACAAATTCTGTATACTAAACTTGACAATAAGGTTCTGAAACTTAGAAGAGGGAAGCGCATTTCAGAAACAATTTGCAAGTTGATATGAAGAAGAAATCGGTAAAAAGCGAATGAGAACTTCTGAAATTTTTTGTCCAATAATATGACAATCGATTTCAATATGCTTGATGAGCTCATGAAATACAGGATTTTCTGCAATTTTAATAGCTGACAAGTTATCACAATATAAACTAGTAGTTGGAGAAGTAATACGCAGTTCAGTAAGTAGAAAAGATAAACATTATATCTCACAAGTAACCATGGCTAAAGCTCAATATTCAGTCTTAGAAGAAGACCGAGAAACAGTGAATTGTTTTTTAGTTTTTCAAGAAACAAGAGAATCACCAAAAAATATACAAAATCCCGTAAAAGATTTACGAAAATCTGCACAAGAAGCTTAATCAGAATTGCTGAAGACCTTAAGATGCACTGAAGTTAGCTGAATAAAAGATTCTGTGTCCTGGTGTTCCCTTCAAATACCTCAATACCCGATGTGCAGCTTGCAAATGAATCTTAATAGGGGCATTAAGAAACTGTAAGAGTTATTGAACTGAATAACTAATATCAGACCGAGTGTTGGTGAGATACAAAAGTTTACCAACAAGCTTCCTGTATGAGGTAACATCAACAATAGGGGAACCATCATGTTGAACTAACTTTGTTGGTGAAGCCATGGGCGATGAGACCGGTTTACAACCTAAGAAACCAATATCTCGAAGTAAATCCAAAGTATATTTTCTTTGATTCACATTAATACCTTCAGAAGAACGAATGACCTCAAGTTCTAGGAAATATTTGAGTTCACCAAGATCTTTAATTTTGAACTCATTATGAAGAAAATCCTCCACCATATGAATTTCAACCATGCAATCACTTACCAATATCACTTCATCAACATATACAAGAAGAGCAATAAAATTAAATTCTGAACACTGAAGAAATAATGAAGAATCTGAATTGGATTGCACAAAACCAAATTTTCTTAAGGCGTCAGTCAACTTGAAATGCCATTGCCTACTTGCTTGTTTAAGACCATAGAGACTTTTAGTAAGCCTGCATACCTTATTACCCGAACCATGAAAGCTAGGAGGTAGAGTTATGTACACTTCTTCATGTAAATCACCATGAAGAAACGCATTACCCGAACCATGAAAGCTAGGAGGTAGAGTTATGTACACTTCTTCATGTTTAAGACCATAGAGACTTTTAGTAAGCCTGCATACCTTATTACCCGAACCATGAAAGCTAGGAGGTAGAGTTATGTACACTTCTTCATGTAAATCACCATGAAGAAACGCATTATTAATATCAAGTTGATGTAAATGTCATCTTTTAACCGCAGCCACAGCCAACATAGTACAAATGATCGTTAACTTTGCAACTGGAGAAAAATTATCTAAAAAATCAATACCAGATTGCTAAGTATAACCTTTAGCAACCAACATGACCTTATATCTATCAATCGGGCCATCAGCTTTTCTTTTTATCTTATATACCCACTTGCAACCAATGAGTTTCTTACCATGAGGTAAATCAACTAATTCCCAAGTCTTATTCTCTTCCAGGGCCCTAATTTCAGCTAGCATAACATCTTTCCAGAATGTAAATTGAACTGTTTGGTTGTAGGAGTTAGGTTCTACATCTTGGGATATAGTAAAAACAAAACGCTTTTGTACTAGGTCCAAGTTGTTGTAAGAGAGTATATGTGAAATACAATATGGGATAGAAATGGAATTGATGTAAGATCTAAGACTATATAGATAGTAATCATGTAAATAAAATGGTTGCTTTGTGTGTTTAGTAGGTCGCCTTGTTTGAAAAGGATTAGGTTCATCATGCATGGATTCTGTGGGGCTGGAATTTTGTGAACAAGTAGGCTTTATTTCGGGAACATCTAATGGTAAAGATGCAGAATGAATAAAAGTATCAGCTGAGGAAGGTAAGGAAACGTTACCAGAAGAAGTTGGCTCGCTGGAGTGGCTTGAGATTGCATTACCTTGATCTCGCGCAGCTTGAATTAAGTCTCTGTTTTATGCTATCAATTCATCAGCACAAGGAAGCACAAAATTATTTGAACTGTTATTGACAGAAGAGAAAAAAGGAAAATTATGCTCAACAAAATAGACATCCAGGGAAACAAAGATCTTTTTAGATTGTGGATCAAATACTCTATACCCCTTTACGTGGGAAGGAAAACCAAGAAAAATACATTTAACGGATTTATGATCAAACTTAGACTTGTCAGGACTAAGGTTGGATGTGTAACATAAACATCCAAACACTTTCAAATGTTCATATTTCGGGATTGAATGAAATAAAATTTCAAAAAGAGACTTATTGTTGATGACTGGAGGTGGCAACAGGTTGATCAAATAAGTTGTGTGTAGCACACAATCAACCCAAAATTGTTTTGGTAGATGAGCCTGAAACATCAAAGATTTTGTCATATTTAAAATATGTTGATGTTTTCTTTCAACCACACCATTCTGCTGTGGTGTATATGAGTAAGAAAATTAGTGTACCACTCTTTTAGCGGCAAAGAAATCATTCATCTTAAACTCTTGACCATTATCAATACGAGCACATTTGATCTTTACATTGTGTTGGGTTTCAACATATGCAAAAAATTGAATAATGATTGTTCTGACTTTTCCTTTTGCCTTTATAGGATACAACCATGTGTACCGACTCTTATCATCAACAATAGTGAGAAAATAACGATGACCATATAAAGAAGAAACAGATAAAGGACCCCAAATATCAATATGTACAATATCAAAGCAAGATTTACTCACATGAAATGAAAGTCTTCTTTATTTAGTAAGATGACAAATGTCACAAACAAAGGAAGTACAAGAAGAAATTGATTTATCTAATTGATGAATTATATGAAGTCTTGGTGTGGAAGGGTGACCAAGACGATAATGCCAAAGGTTATGAGTGTTAACAACATTATTACAATGAAAAGAACTAGAGTTTGCAAAGGACCAACCAAAGGAACACGACTTTATAACATTGACAGTGTTTGCTGGTTTTGTATTTGCTGTCTCAAGGTAATACAATTCTTGCCTCTCTTTAGCTAAACCAATCCTCTCTTTGGTTTGTGCATCCTGTATTTCACAAAAAAGATCTTGAAAGGTTAAGCAATATGAGGAATTGGCTAACAATCTGCTTACAGAAATTAAATTGAGGGTAAAGTTCGGTGTGTATAGTGCATTATGAAGGGTTAACATAGGCAAAATATATACATCACTTATATGGGTAATAAGAACTGGTTGAGAGTTAGGTAATTTTACAAACATATTGGTCACCGGTCTACACAAAGTAAACATTTCTACTGAAGTAACTACATGGTCCGTAGCTCCTAAATCAATTATCCATTCATTCAGTGAAGTATGGAAGGGTAAGGTAGAGGCAATACCTGGTGAAGTCTGAAAATTTGTAGAAAGTGTATTAAGTGGTGCTGGATTTCTGTTTGGTGCAAGTGCTTGAGGTTGAATCAAAGCTAATAGTTGCTGGCATTGTTCTTTAATAAAAAGGAAAGACATGCTCTCTGAAATTTGACCCTGAGAATTAAGCCTCACTTGTGAATTTCTGGACTTTGAATTTGTATCCAGTGCATGAGAACTGACTTGATTGATGTTGGAGACACTTTTCTGTATTGGTTTATAGCCTGGTGGATATCCATGTTTTTTGTAATATTTATCTACTGTGTGACCAATAAACTCACAGTGAATACAAGTAGGCCGCTTATTATTGATTCCACTAGTTTTCCTCAAATTTCCTGAATTGTAAATATTCACTGCATTTTGTTGAGATTTAGAAATTTTATTGGTATAAAAAATGTTTGACTCATACTGTTGTGAGCATACTCCAATATCGAGGCTGTTTTTATGCTGAATTACCAGGGCAAATACCTTGTTCAAGGATGGTAATGGTTCCATAAGCAGTATTTGTGATCTAACAACATTAAAGGATTCAGTCAATCCTTTGGGAAATTTTATAATTCTGTCTTCTTCATAATATTTTCTACTTACACATTCCAACTGACATTCACAAGCAGGCCGCATGTTGGACAATTCGTCCCACAAAATTTTTAGCTAAATAAAATATTCAGTGACTGAATTATTTTCTTGTTTCAGAGAGTTGATTTTATCAGATAAATTTAAAATTCTAATCAAATCACTTTGTGCATACCGGTCAGATAAATCCTTCCAAAGATCCTTAGTAGAGTCAATGCACATGATACTTTGAGCTATTGAGGGAGATGCAAACCTTATAATCCATGATAGAACGAGAGTATTACATCTCTTCCATGAAGCCTTCCTTATTCTTGTAATTCAATGCTAATCTTACAGAACGAGACCATGAATGATAGTTCTTACCTGTAAGGATATTAGTGGTGAGATAGCTTCCTAGATTCTCGTTCGGATGAAGATAATATGGACTCGACACGGATTCTTCTTGCTTTGACAATTCTGAAGCTAGAACAACATCCATAACTGTTGGCGACCGACGAACAGATTCTACGGCTTCAAAATCAATCTTACAAACAGCGATTTAGAAGAAAAAAACATGTCTGCTCTGACACCATGTTGATTTTGATAATAATCACTATTTAATTTCTGTATAAATTGGAAATTAATGGTTGAAGAGAAGAGAAGAGAAGAAATTGCAGAACTGAGAGAAGAGGAGAGCTCAGGTGTCTGGAAATGAGAAGATGATTTTATTGATGAATAACAACAGGGTATTTATACAAGAAAAGTAAATTACAAATTTAACACTAACTTTGTACATAATTACAATTATATCCCTAACTATATATTCTAATACTTAAGTTTACTGCCCATTCAAAATATATTGTGATCAATGATGTAAATATTTAACAGATGAAGTTATGGTTTGGATATGAGTTAACATGAGAGGAAATATGAGCCTATGGTTTATATCTTTCCCTTTTGTCTTGGTATTCTTTACATGCATGATTACTGCCTACACGGTGGTATTGCATTTTGTACTTTTGGGTTGCGAGAGTTTAATATTTCTGGATCATTGAGTTGTGAAAATGAACATTTTTTTTTTGATTATTTGGGAGTTATCCTTGCTGTCCAGATTTTTTTACAATCCAGTCTCAGAGATAATAGGCAGTCTAATTTTTTTTTTTTTCTTTTTTGGTATTTGGAATTGCAAAAATCTCAATGTTTTGTATTGACTAGTTTATATTTGCTTACTTGAGATGGGGTCGGAATTGGGGCATTTTCAGGATAAAGATAATGTTGACGTGGTTATGAAGTTAATACTGCATTTATTTGTTTTTCTGCTACTTTCTGCTTTTACATATTACTCGAGGATAATGTTGATATGGTTATGAAGTTAATACTGCATGTATTGTTTATCTGCTACTTTCTCTTTTTGCATATTGCTTAAGAGGATTATTTATTTTTGCATTGGCCAATGCATGATTTAGCGTCTGACCTCATTTCTAGTTGGATAAGTGGCAGCTCATTCAAGTATTTTATGAATTTATTTTTCCTGGAGTCCGTTGCATTGGGTTGTGGCACGGAAATGTACCCCTTCACCACCTCCCTCATTATGTCATGTTGGATCTTTTGAGACAACATGGTACTGATTCATTACCGTATTTAGTCTCATTTTTACTCTTAGTTTATGATCTTAGTTTTTGACTGCATGCACAGGACCTACTTATTCTTTTGCGGCAACCAAAAATTTGACTGAACATCAAACTATATTCTATGTTTTTCAAGTAGAAAGTCTAGCATTTGGGGAAAACCTATTGAATGATGATATTGTTGTACCATTTTAACTTATGGGTGTTTATTTATCTGTTTGTTTTCGACTCAGCATTTTGCTGTTATTTGATGAAGAAAATGATACCTATGAGGATAATAAGGCATTGTGCACCATCCATTTGCCCCTCAATGTTGTTTCCCTTACTCAGTGCTCGAGTCTCCAGGTGGCAAATTCAGGATCTTGGAAATAATATGATGTATGAGATCACTGGCTTCTCATCAGTAAATTTAAATAAGATCACTTTTGGCTTAGGAGTCTGGAGGAGAGTTATTCATCAAATGCAATATTTTTCAGCCATGGCTGGGACCATTTTGGTCCAAGCTCGCGACCGGGCTAAACTGAACATGGAAATTCAAGATGCTATTAATGGAGGTAGATATGATGCTAACATGGAAGCTGTTTGAACAGCATATGGGAATGGATGGCTTTCCTTGAAAATCTGTTGTGAACAATGTTCTAACAGGGTTCTCCAGAGCCTTGATGTTCAGTGGCTTGAGAAGGCTTACATGTTGGTTGAACGTGCTTTTGAGGAGGGTAAACAGAACTTGCTGGGGAAGGAGACCCTTATTTATCTCTCTCTTGTTCTTTCCAAATGCAGTCTACCCGTGCCTGCATCCACTGTTTTAAGAAAGTTGGTAGAGATGGAGCAATATCCCTCTGTGACAGCCTGGTCCGCAATATTGGCTCATATGTCATTCACAGGACCAGGAGCTTACCTTGCTGCTGAGTTGATTCTTGAGATAGGCTACTTCTTCCAAGATGGCAGAGTGGATCCATGTAAAAAGAGTAATGCACCTTTAATTGCCATGAAACCTAGTACGACTGCTTTAAACATTGTTTTGGCTGGGTGCCTGCTGTTTGGCACAACCAGAAAAGCTGAGCAGCTCCTTGAAATGATGCCTCGAACTGGTGTCAGAGCTGATGCAAACCCGTTGATCATAATGGCACAGATATATGAGAGAAATGGGCGACGAGGAGAATTAAAGAATCTTCAGAGACATTTTGATGAAGCTTGTAACCTGACTGATATCCAGTTTAGACAGTTCTATAATTGCTTGCTTAATTGCCATCTGAAATTTGGGGACCTTGATTCTGCTTCTAACATGGTGTTGGAAATGCTTAGGATAGCAAAAGTAGCACGAAATTCCCTTGGTACAGCTATACTTAACTTTGTAACTGTCAGCAATGAACTTCCCCCTGGAAAGGCTATTGTGCATAGCTTGAATCAGAAAACATCAGATGGTTTAATACCATATGAAGAGTTCTGTAGAGACAAAAATTCCATAAGCTTGGACACTGAGGCAAAAAAAATGTTGGATACGTTGTTGGATAAGTTACGGACACAAGTTGAACTGATTACATCAGAACGTGGTATTCTGCAGCCGACCGGGATAATTTATGTGAAATTAGTTATGGCTTTTCTGGAAGCTGGCAAGATCAAGAATTTAGTTGAGTTCCTTATTAAGGCGGAGAAATAAGATTCCCCAGTCTCTCATGATGATTCAACGCCGGTTCATGTTATCAATGCATGTATGTCAATGGGGTGGCTAGATCAGGCACATGACCTTCTTGACGAAATGTGTTTTGCTGGTGTAAGGACTGGTTCTTCCGTATATTCCTCCCTCTTAAAAGCATATTGTGAAGCGAATCGACCAGCTGAGGTTACATCACTTTTACGGGATGCTCAGAAGGCAGGGATCCAGCTAGATTCAAGCTGTTACGAGGCTTTGATGAAATCCCGTGTGCTTCAAAAAGATACCGATGGTGCTCTTCATTTGTTCAGAGAAATGAAAGAGGGAAAAATTCCGAGAGCTGGATATGAAGAATTTAAGATGTTAGTGGAGGGGTGTGCAGGGAATGGTGAAGTGGGTTTAATGGCAAAACTCTTGCACGAAATTAAAGACAGGCAGAGCTAGATTGCGGAGTTCATGATTGGAACAATGTGATTCATTTTTTCTGCAAGAAGAGGTTGATGCAAGATGCAGAGAAGGCCCTAAAGAAGATGAGGGCTCTAGGGCATGCCCCAAATGCTCAGACTTTCCATTCTATGGTGACCGGCTATGCTGCTATTGGGGGTAAATATGTCGAGGTAACAGAATTATGGGGGGAAATGAAATCTTTTGCCTCTGCAACCTCAATGAAATTTGACCAAGAACTCCTTGACTCTGTGCTTTATACGTTCGTCAGGGGTGGATTTTTCATTCGAGCTAATGAAGTTGTAGACATGATGGAGAAAGGGAAGATGTTCGTTGATAAATACAAGTATCGAACCCTCTTCTTGAAGTACCATAAAACCCTCTACAAGGGGAAGGCGCCCAAATTCCAGACAGAACCACAGCTGAAAAAGAGGGAAGCAGCATTAGCCTTAAAGAAGTGGGTTTGTTTGTGCTGAGTTTTCTAGAATCAGCTTGCTATACTCTATCCATATCTTTTCTTCTTTTGTCACATTTGAGTTTTTTTGAAGTACTGAAAAATGCCATCTGTTCTCCTTGCACTCTGCCTTCTCTCGTTGTAGACTGCACGTGTCTTGAGCAGCAGCTGCTCTGATATGTTGGTCGTCATCATCACTAGCTAGGTACGTTATCCTGTTTACCACCTTCCCTCATTTTCTCATACCGGATCGTTTAAACCTAGTAGTAACGCCTTAATGTATTTGGTTTGTACCCCTAATATTAATTAGCCTAATGTTTGACTGAATGCATGTTATCTGTTTACTCTCTGGCCTCAGCCAAAGTTTAACACGAACTATATTTGATGTTGTATCTGCTGTTCTTTAACTAGTAACTCAATATTTCTTTTAATAGGCATTGAATAATCACTTAATGCTACCCTTTTGTCTTTCTTTAATTTTCATAGGCTATCTGGAATAGAAGAACCTCAAAAAAAAATGATGAGGTACTTTTTACTTTCTGTGATTAGTATTTTATTATTTTTATTCTCTTAATATTTGTTTACTGGAATTCTTAACATTCTCTTATATTTGTTTGCTAGAATTCTTAATGATTAACCTATTGGAATTTCATTTCATAATGAATTTTTTTTTTTTTTGAAAAAGGTCAATGATAAAATAAACACCGAGCTCCTCAGGAACCTGACAACGGTGATTGTGGCAGCACAGGGAATCTTTACCAAAGCCTTGGAAAAATGAAGGAAGATTACTTGTAGACAAATAAAAAAAAGACATACTCTTGAATCCTTATGTGCCAAACTCCGCGACTTTTTCTTCTCTTGTTGACTGACAATGAGATTGCCAGTACTGAACAGCTGCCGCTGGTGCAAGTAATATGCTATAACTGCAACAAAGGTCATTGATGGGCAGCTGCCAAACAGTTATGGATGTGTGGCTGATCTGCGAGGCACCGATCATCTTTCTTGTACTCTCTTGATGACTTATGAAATACAGCAGCAGCGATGGAGGTTATGTGAAATCCATGATTAAATTCATGGTGATTAATGATTTATCTAGATCCTTAAGTGATCAAGAGGTAACTAATTTAAAACTGTTTTAGATTAATTAAACATGCTACGATAGGAGTACGGATCCATGGTGATTATGTTGCCTTACTCGGTTCTTGTGTGTATGCTTTAGGATTCAGCGCTGTTGGAGGCTTCTCCGCCTTCAAAGATGGGTTTAACAGATGCCTTCCTCGCCAAGAAAGAAGCTAACAATGTAATTAAATTGGTTAATTTTACTGTTAATTACCGTATGTTTGAAGAGCAAAAACAAATTATCTATTGTAGAGGAACTGACAACAATAGGTTAATACGCTCAAATCTTATTCGAACACCTTATCTTACAAAAGCAGCTAATCTTTTCTCGTGTCATGCAAGAAAATCTAATTAAACCCATATGGAGATTGATAGTTGAAATTAGCAGCTGCAAAACTACTAGTGCCAGTGCCATATTGTTCTAGCTTCGTCCAGGAACTGTTGATGAAAATTGGGTTTGCTTCAAATTGTTGTTGTTGAGGAAGTTGAAGTGGATTTGCACGGGAGCTGTACACAGCAATCTCAGCCTGAGTCCTGGCAAGCTGATTCTCTGCCTTCTGGATCTGGTTATGTAATACAGAGATGATCCCAACACAACCGTACACAGGATCTTCAATCCTACATTGTGCCTCAAAATACAATGAATCTGCTGCTTGACCTCTTAGATGACTTGGGAGTTGCTGCATACAAAACAAAGGAATTCGCAAATAATCGATCAGTCTCTTCTCAGTTTACGTGGAGGTCCAAATTCGTGACTTTGTTCCACTTTTGCGAAGGTAATTCATTTACCTGGACATTTGGCTTGAAATCGTAGTTGCTTTATTTTTCGTATTATATTGAGTTATTATCTGTGTTTGATCCATATTTTTTATTTAAGCATGCGAAAAAAAATGTTACAATGTAAATTTATTTTCATATATGCGTATGTTTGATATATTTGTTTACCTGAAGCATCTTTGCAACATTGCTGGCACCATAAATTTTGTGGACAAAAGCAAATCTTTGAGGATTATTTGAAGGAAAATAAGGAGAGAAAATACAATCTTGAGGACATCTTCTTCTCAAATATTTACAAGCTGCACAACGACCAGAAGCCATGTCTTCCAAAAATCTTGATAAAAATCAAACTCTCAATCTTTCTGGAGACAGAAAAAATAGAAGGAAAAATCTAATAGATATACTGTATCATATATTTTCGATTTTGAAATCTCTTTCATTTTATATTGGTTGGATTTGAAAGACCCTATTTTAGGTTTAGAGAAAATTTACAACGGCTATATTTTTTAAAATTCTGTTATTTGGAAAGAAATTTGCAATGAATTATTTCTAATACTCAAAATTAATTTCTCTTTTTTTTTTGGTTTATTAATTTAGTTCCCTATATTTAAGGGGATGATTAGAAGAATTAATCACCGATGTTTTCCAAAGTCAAAGGACGTACATATATATATATATACACACACACATATTTATGGGAGATCTTCATCAAAATTGCAAGAAATATTTATTTTACACCTTTTTAATTTTAAATTTACTTTATAAATTAAAAATTAAAAGAAAAATTTTGGAAAAATTATTAAAGAATAAAACAAACACACACATATGAGCGTATGACTATTTAGACTGAAGGGCCGACGTTGTTGAATATTTAGGAGGAGATTTATATATATATATATATATTATATTTACAAGATATTTTAGCATTGTATTAAAATGATATATTTATTAAATAATTAAATAATAAATAAAATATTTTTTTATAAAGTATAAAGTTAAAGTTGTATTTACAAAAATATCTTGCATTAATTAGAGGAAAACATGATACATATTAAAAAGATTGTTAGTCGCCATTATTATTATTATTTTTTTTTACGAGAACACACAAAACTCAAAAGAAAATTAAGAAATCATCATGTACATTCGGGACCCGGAGACACCCATGATATTGTCAATAAAGAGCTGTTTGAGATCATTCGACACCTGAATAAGAGACTGGAGGCCCATCATTAGAGAGAAGCCAGTATTTGACAACTAATCAACGCATCTATTTCTTTTGTGATAGATATGTTGGACTTTGACCTAGCAGTCCTGCAATAACTAGTGTTTGATCTCACAAACAAGGAAGACATGCGTATTAGTGTCGTAATCCTCCTTAGAAGTAACTGTACCGCCAAGACACTATCTATTTTTAGGATAATATTACGGAACCCAGCATGCCAAGTGAGTTGAAGGCCATCGAGAGCACCCCAAAGCTAGGCCTGAAGTATAGAACATATGTCAATCTTCCTGTTGAAGCTTCTCAAGCAAGCATCATCCTCATTCCTAATAAGTCCACCACAACAAGCGAGGTTAGTAGCTGCACGATAAACACCATCAGTGTTCACCTTTCACCAACCCCTGGGAGGTTTTTGCCAAGCTATAAGTTCTTCTGACCTGTGCACCATAGCTGAAAAAAAGTAAATATTCATATTATTAGCCATAAGAGTATAATCAATCATGAGGGACACATCCTTAACAAGCTCATCGATAGTACTCTTACTTTCTTGGAAAACAAACTTATTTTTATGGTTCCACAAGCTCCAGTAAGTAAGGTCAAATGTCACTCTCCAATTCTGAACTGTCTTGCACGAGGGCTAGTTGTTTTTGAGGTTCAGCACGAATCACTCGTCAACAGTACCACAGAAAAAAGTTGAATGGGCTTCAGCAGGTATGATCTTCAACCACAGCAGTTTAGCTATGCTGCAATTATGGAGGACATGATCCATATTCTCAATAGGGTCGTCACACCTACTGCACTCTGTAGTAGAGGACATGTGATGTCGGTATCTCTCCCAATTCGTTAAGATCTTCCTCTTAGCAGTCAACCAGAGGAACATACGCACCCGTTGAGCACCTAGCCAATGCTAATTGTCTCTCTAATTTCTATCCTCCGGGTGCTAATGATTACTCTCCAAGGGGGCGTAAGCCAAGCTAACCAAGAAACACCTAGAGTTCGTCATACCACAAAAGTAGAAGTCTGAGATATTGTCATCTCTAGGGGTCGGTACTGCAACCATTTGGAGCAATGTGTCCATTGACAACACCGGCGTAGGGCCTCTCAGTTCCATTAGCCGGACGACACCACATAATCCCTGACACCTCTATGGAGATCGTGTTCAGCAATAAGTGTAAAAGCCAAAAACTTAAGCAGCCCCAGGTCCCCTAACCAGCAGTCTTCCCAAAATTGAACATTTTCCCGATCCAATTGACCATTTGATGCCCATACGAAGGTCTTTCCAAAGATAGTTAAGGTTGCGCCAAAGATGGGAGATTGGTCCTATCGGCTTGTAATTCTGCGATAAGCCAAACCATCTGTACTTGTGGGTGAGGACCTGGACCCATAGTAAATCGGGCTTTGCAACTATAGAAAAACCTAATTTTATTAAGAAAGTTTGGTTTTGCTTGTGGATAGACAAAGTTCGCTCCTCCAGCGTTGTAA